GATGTCTTCTTTGGAAAAATGTCTGTTCATGTCTTCTGCCCATTTCTTGATTGGATTCTTTGTTCTTTGGGTGTTGAGTTTGATAAGTTCTTTATAGAGAAAAACTGTGTCTTAACCAAAGGCCTATGTTGGCACTACTGAGAATACGAATGGGAAAGAACTTCACTGCGTCTGAAAACTCCAGTTCCATGTCTCCTCACATAACATTTAACGGATATGAATTTGACTTGCCCCCACCCCCTGCTCAACCTGTCCCTGCTTCTCCCAAACAGTTGAATGAACATCCCGCATTCCTGATAACCTCATGAAGATGATCTCTATATTCTAAGCCTTTTGTTTCCTGTTCTTTCCCTGAAGAAAGAAAACAAACAGGGCTTTTGAAATTCAAAATGACATCATTATGACTTTATCCCCCATCTGAAGGCTCCTTGTCTTTTTTTTTTTATCATTTCCAGATTTTCAGTTTTGCATTTCAAGTTTCACAAAATGAGAAATTAATTCTTATATCATTTTGGAAGTGACGGTTATCTTTCTTACAAGTATTTAGAAGTACTCGCCATCCTAGCTGACAGTTTCTAAAGGTATTGTTCTATTATTTCTCATTGCTTCATCCCAGATCAGCTGTGGCTGATACACTCCCAGTTATTATTTCTGACATTCCATTGATTTTTCCATCCATTAGACTGTCTTTCATAAAAGGAGAAAAGTGCCATACCACGGACAAGATTTGAAGTGTCTGATATAATCTCATGATGTACACAGAGTACCCAACAGACAGGCACACCCGTTCACACACATGAGCTTGCCCCTAACACACATATATACAGGAATTATCACAAGTTACCAGGAATGCAACAGGTAGATTTTTCAAAATATTAGCAGGGTTTGGTCATTTGGAGTTAAAAACAATATTCCTTTAAACTGCTAAAAGGGACAAGTGGGGGTAATAAGCTGAAAAGCAAACAAATAAAAGATCTGAGAAGAGACTAAATAGCTTATAAAGCTCAATTTTGAGTTTCCGCTCCACCAAGAGGCAGAAAATCCATAAATTTCACTGTAGCCTCCCAACACTTCTAACTGCAAAACTATTCTCTAGACAGCGCTCTGCTGAGCGATGAGGCTCTTCCCATTCTTGATTACTTCCATCTGATCCTTTTGCAAACGAAATTGCATTTTAAAAAAAAATTTTTTTTTTTAAGATTTTATTTGACAGTGAGAGAGAGAAAGAGAGAGCACAAGCAGGGGGAGCTGCAGGCAGAGGGAGAGGGAGAAGCAGACCCCCCGTCAAGCAAGGAGCCCAATGTGGGGCTCGATCCCAGGACCCTGGGATCATGATCTGAGCCGAAGGCAGAAGCTGCTCCGACTGAGCCACCCAGGAGCCCCTGAAATTGCATTTTCTTCAATCCAAAAATATCAGAATATTTTAGATATCATCAATTAGAATACAAATTATGTATTAGAATATGTATTACTCATAAAACCCCAGCCTAGAAACACCTATTTTAATGACCACAACTTTAGGGGCACTTAGCTGGCTCAGTCGGTGGAATATGTGACTCTTGATCTCAGCTTGTGAGTTCAAGCCTTACAGTGGATATGGAGATTACTTAAAAATAAAAATCTTAAAAAAAAAATGCACTTTAAATATGTTCCCTCATTTATTTTTTTTAACATTTATTTATTTGAGAGAGAGAGAGAGAAAGAGAATGGGGGGAGAGGGGAGGGAGAGAATCCCAAGCAGACTCCCCACTGAACACAGAGCCCGACATGGGGCTCAGTCCCATGACCCTGAGATCATGACCTGAGCTGAAATCACAAGTTAGAGGCTTAACCGACTGAGCCACCCAGACACCCCTATTTTCCCTCATTTAGATAACAAGACTAACTATGTAATAAATGATTCTCTAAAGCTGCACTATCCCATACAGAAGACACTAGCCACATATGGCCAATGAACACTTGAAATGTGCCTACTAGGAATGGGGAACTGTAGGCTTTGCACCCAGCATGGGGCTTGAACTCAGAACCCTAAGATCAACAGTCACGTGTTCTACTGAGCCAGCCACGTGCCCATGACAGTCTAATTTATATTAAATAGTGTATTTGTCTCCCAAACTCCTTCCTCCCTACTAGACTGTGATCCTTTTAAAATAGAAGACAACCTTGCTCATTTTAAAAATGCATCAAAGCCCAAACAGTTCTTGCAATGGAAATCCTTCCATAAATATCTGAGGTTTGAATATAGTGTACACGAGTAGTTTTTTTTAAAATTCATTGTTCTATAAAAGAAAGCCTAAAACTAATATTGAGGTATCCCATGCTCAAGGAGGGAAAGATGCAGTATTGACCAGGTATCAATTTTCCCTAAATCAATTGATAAATGAAACAGAACCCAATCAGAAAGGGTTTTTCCTACACTTGACAAGCATATTTTAAAATTTAGTGGAAGAAAACATGTAACTTTGGAGGGAAATCTGGTGAGTGAGGGCAAGCCAGGCAAGTTCTCTGTTCCAGATCAAAACATTTTCCAAGCAGCAGTCATCCAGTGAGCATGACTAAGAACAGGCATGTAGGCCAATGAGTAGAAAGCTCAGAAGGAGACCCATGCACATCTGGAAGCATGATCTCTGACAGAGGCACTGTTATCAATCACTGGGGGAAGGAAAAAATGGTAGTTCACATGGAAAAAAGTAAAACCGCAGTAGCTCCTTATCTCACACCAAAATTAAAAATTCAGGTGCAATTCACCTCTGAAAATTGTCATATTTTCTGTTATTGATGATTTAGTGAGAATTCCAGGAGGACTATGCAATACATGAATGACACATTTCTCTCCAGTAGAAATAAAAAGAACAGAAATGATAGTTTTTAAGAACTTAAAGACGCCCACATAACAGGGTACATAAAACACATTTATTTTTCTTCTTTGATATACTGAATCAAGCCCAAAGTCACTGGGGCTTTATGAAGGTCAGAATTTTAGAACTGAGGTGGAGGCCAATAAATCCATGGAGAGACTCAGTTACTGTACAAAGGACTTCTAAAGACTTCTTTGAAGCTAACTGCAGAAAGATGAAACCCCAATCCAGCTGAACAGTAACAGTGCTCTCATGCTATCAAACAGCACATGTCGACTCACCTCCACCTGGTTGTTGTTAACAGAGGCCGAGGCGGGTTCTATCCTCACTTACCTAGACGTGAGCCAGTTACTGGCAAGGTAAGCCCGCACATCAGACACTCAGCGTCAGCACGCAGACAGCTAGCTCTCTCTGGACGTACGGGGGTTTGCTTGCCCTTCTGCAGTCCTGAGCCGGGGGTGAAATTTCTCCCCTGACTTCCAGGAAGGCCACAAACCCAAAACTGGGCTTTGATAGATTTTCAAACGTGTTCCCTGTCGTGTGTGTTCCAGATGGTCTCCAGAGTGAGTTTATTTCCTGCTTGGGCTCTGTGTCACCGTCTTCTAGATCCCGTACCTTGGATTCTCCTGTTTGATCCTGTGGCTATCTCAACCCACAGATGTAGTATAGCCATGACTATGTGGACGAGTCCGCTCCACAGTGGCCATCATGAACTGTCACAGATTGGAGGGCTGCAATCCCGGAGGCCGGACATGCAGGATGAAGGTGCCGGTGGGGCTGGTCTCCTCTGGGACCTCCCTCCTCGGTTTGCTGACAGCCACCCCTCTCTGCAGGCACGGCCCTGGGTCTCCTGTGCTCAAACTTCCTCTTTTTAGGAGGACACCAGCCAGACTGGATGAGACCCAACCTAATGGCCTCATTTTAACTTAATCACATCCTTAAAGAGCCCATCTCCAAATATGGTCACAATGGAGGTGCAGCTTCGACATGCGAATTTTAGAGGAACACATTTCAGCCCATAGACAATGGATGTGATGACTTTGACAAACGCTGGATGTGATGATGACTTTGACAAATGCATGCAAGCAGCCGTGCTGTGGGGTGAGGAGCTGCAGCAGCTGGGGAGCAAAGCAAAGGGATCTCTAAACTCACAGAGAAACTCCACATCCCCAGGAAAATGAAACCCTGATTTCTCTTGCTGAGAACGACTCCTGTTGATTAGGTATTCTCTTAAACTCCTACTTTAATTTCACGTAGAGAGACAGTTACATAAAGAATTTCACCAAAAGAGATCACTAGAGGGGTAATGATCCATTAAATGTCTTTTAACAGCTCCTGCAAAATAGCCAGTCTTTTCTCCTCCGGAGTAGCTGCAGCTCTCAATATGCCACCCCTCTGTGCAAAACGTACGTGCAGGGCCTGGTGGTAAATGGACAGAAAGTGAGAGTGTGGGGAGAGGAACAGAACCGATGGGAGGAAAGAGAAATCCGCGAGTGGGGATTTTAAGGCAAGAAGTGCAGTAAGAAAAACAGACACACTATTAAAAGTAAGAACAAACTGCAGTGGTTCTCTGAGTGAAACACAAGGACAGGACTGTGGAAAAAAGGTAACAGGAAGGAAAAAGGAACATCAAGTTTTTATCAGACTCAGTGATTCATTTTTGAAATGAGATACAATCTACTGAAGAGGACTCTGGACACCAGAAAGCATGGAGTTATGGGGGAGGGGGGGAACAACGCCACAGCAGCTTGGCAGCAAGAGGAAGTTCTGCCCCTGCCGGGTCAAATGAGGAGTTGGGTTTTCAGGTCAAATAAACAGTGTCCTGAAGACGTGAACCTGAGATTAGCAAAGGACTCTACCGTCCCAGATTCTAGTGTTAAAAGTCTATACAATGCCTAAATAAATAAATCTAACGAACTGTGGCCAAAGATGGGATTTTATAACTACATATTGATTTATATTGGTTTTCTTGGTCTACTGCAGAGTATGGAATCTCTCCAGGATTACCTCTCTGCCAATTTCTAGGTAGCTTACAGCAATTTTAAAGTACCTCCGAATATACATTTTCAACAGATGGGATTATTAAATGCTTAGTGAAACAATGATCCATAGATGTGTTACCACCCACCAGTACACAAAGCAGATCTTCTCTGTTCCACTCTCATTCCAATAAATATTTACATCCTTCCATTTACTCATTTCAAGACTGCAGAAGATGGAATATCATTGCTCTTTTGAGATGAATGTAAAAAATTGTGCTTTCTGGATTTTTCAATTAACTTGCTCTCAGAAGAATTTATTTTTAGCATAAAGAATAGACATTTCATGGTCTGTAGATATTTTCACTTACATATCATACTTTTTTAAAATTTATTTATTTGAGAGGTAGAGAGCATGAGTGGGGGGAGAGGCAGAGGGAGAGAGAATCTTGCAAGCAGACTCCACGCCGAGCTCAAGCCTGACGCTGGGCTTGATCCCAAGACCCTGAGATCATGACCTGAGCCAAAACCAAGAGTTGGACACTTAACCAACTAAGCCACCCAGGCGCCCCATCAGTCATACTTCTAACCATGGTGCCCATATCTTTTTTCAAGTAGGAACCATTTTTTAAAAAAGCATTTATACTTTTAAAGCCCAGAATTGTAGAATTTTTCAGAACCTTCAAGAGTGTATAGTCCAGCCTTCTTTTTAATATGAGGAAACTGAGGCACAGATATGTAAAATAACTTGCTAATCAGTGGGAGGGCCAGAGGAAGAGGTGGGAGAAGAGGGAGGAGAGAGACTCCACAGTTACTGTGGGCATCTGTTGGGGAGCCAGGTCCCCAAAGCCTCCCCATCACAGTCCTAGGACAGTGGTGCTGAGACCCACAGGGTAGGTCACTGTCACTCAGAACAATGGATTTAAACCCAAATCTGCCTGATACCACACACCAGCTCTTTCCCATTTCCCTATGCTTTCAAAGAAAATACATGGAACCAAGTTATATTATATTATTAAGTCCAGGGCTGATATTTATAATGGCATTATACAAAATTGGATTTAATAGCTTCTCAAAACCTTGGGTATATTTCCTACTATTCGATCTCTGCATTATTAGTGGTTTCTATTTGGCAACGTAATTGACATTTACTTAAGAAACTATGTATTCAAAAAAAAAAAAGAAACTATGTATTCAAACATATTTAAGTGGAAATCAAGTTAAATTCTGGCTGTTTGACCTTAATAAATCAGGGATGAAAAATTCCTCAATCTTCTCAGTGCTCTTATTTTGAATGCAATTATTTGAATAAAAATGCAGTGCAATAGGGGTACCTGGCTGGCTCAGTCAGTAGAACATGGACTCTTGATCTCAGGGTCATGAGTTCAAGCCCCCCACTGGGAACTTATCTTGGGGTTGTGAGTTTGAGCCCCATGTTGGGTGTAGAGATTACTTAGAAATAAAAAATATGAAGGAAGGGAGGAAGGAGGGAGGGAGGGAAGGAAGGAAAGAATCCTCTTTTTGGCACACAGAATAAATAATTCCTATTTATTTGATATAGTTCAACTACTTATCCACAACTAAACTTGCTGCTGGACACCAATAAACCAGAGAGCTAATGAAACCTGATACTTCATACCTATTGCCTCAAAGTTCTATAAACACAAAGGTCATCCTTAAATGATCCCCAAATGGTAAATGTGAATTGCATGAGCAATTAGATTAGAGTGTGACCTATCACCACTGCCATGAAAACAGCTCACAGGGCATGTACTATTACTATCTGTAGGAGTCCAGGGGCATATTAGTTTTCGACAGACCAGCAAGTAACATTCATTGGCAGACCTTTTGTGTCCTTCTGCTCACATGTAATGAATGAGGTTAGAATCTCAGCTGTTTTTCCTTAATATTACTCCATTTTCTTCTGGGTCACTTTGAAAATCTCAGTCTGCCCTTAAGTCACTCTCAGTAGAATGGAAACTGGAAAGGGAATGAGCTGCTTTTGTTTTTTATGTCATCACATCCATAATTAGGCAGTGTTTTTAAAAGAAAACAACCAAAAAGTTCCAGGCAAAATAACCTTATAACCTCGTGCAGTTTTGTAATCCAAAGTGGTATACTGACGGCCCTGGTTATTATTCTGTTTTAATCTTCGATAGCCTTCTCTCAGTTGCCAAGAGTATGTTCAGCAAATCAAATCAACTTCCTTCAGTATTTTAAATCTCATTTGTACCCTGGTAGAGACACACATTTCCTTAAGAAAAGGAGCCATGTCTTTAAAAAGGAAGTTGAAGTCCTTAAGCTTGAGATAAGTCTTTTCAAAAGAGAAAAAAACTTTTGGCAGGACTTGAGTGCATCCTACACCAGTGGAAAGTGGAAACCTGTCTCTTATTTAATGGACATCACTATACAAATTATAGAATATACTGGTACCCCAGCAACCAACCTCACAGAATGTATTCGCAGCTCCAAATAGCAACCTCACTCGAAGGGGGGAAGAAGGTGAGGGGCAAAAGTAACTTAATTTTGGATGTGGGAGTTCGTGAAGATTCTTTCTATCTTCACTATCCCTGACTCCCCTCAACCCTCAACTCAGGGAGAGCACACTGTGAATATTCATTCAAGTCTACATTGTAAAGTACCCCATTCTACCGGATTTAGCACATGAGCGCATTAGTTTATGAAGCAGGGCCAAGTAAAACGAAAGCCATAAAAAAGCTGATAAAATAGTCACAGAATTACCTCAGCTTTTCTGCTCTCTCAGTTCACCATCCCTGCCAAAAAAATGTATTTCCGTTTTTTTAAGAGGTGTGGTTCCTACAACTACTGTACCTCTCTCCTGTTAATAAAATGGATCCACTGAATGAGTGGCGACTCAGTTTCAATCCTCACTTGGAAAACATTTTGTTTTATGAAATACCCTAAGACTTAAAGCAAAACCCAAGCAAACCAGTCAGTTGATATTTACTGAGGGCCCACCGTATGTCAGGCTTTGGCCAGGTGGTGCGGGGACAGCAGCTGAATGACACTACCAGGGGAACCCGGCCGGATGGAGCAAAGCACTGATCAGGGAAGACAGACGCTAACCAAGTGAAGTGCTCTGAGGAACAAACACAGGGTGCATGTGACAGAGAGACCTAACCAGATCTGCAGGTTGGGAAGGATGCCCTGATAAAGAGACTGTTAAGTTGAAGCCTAAAGGAAGAAGAGTTGTTTTGTTTTGTTTTGTTTTTTAAGATTTTATTTATTTATTTGATAGAGAGTGTGTGTGTAAGTATGTGGCAGGCAGGGCGCAGAGGGAGAAGCAGACTCCCCGCTCAGCAGGGAGCCCAACTTGGGGCTCAATCCCGGACCCTGCGATCGTGACCTGAGCTGAAGGCAGATGCTTAACCGACTGAGCCACCCAGGTACCCCTGGAAGAACAGTTTTTAAGTGGGTGCAGAAGGGACAGAGAAAGACAGCTGAGGGGAGAGTGGTGTGCAGATCTTCCTGGACCTACAAAGGGGTTATGTCCTGACAAACCCATTGTGACTTGGAAATACCGTGAAGTCAAAAATGCTCTCAATACACCTACCCTACAGAACATCAGAGCTTACCCTCGCCTACGTTGACCATGCTCAGAACACATACATTAGCCTACAGCTGGGCAAGATCTTCTCACACAAAGCCTATTTTATAAGCAAGAGTTGAATATCTCACGTAATGTATGGAATACTGTACTGAAAGGGAGACACAGAAGCGTTGCAAGCGTATTGGCTCGAGACTGGGTGGCTGAGTGGGAGCTGAGGCTGCTCCCACTGCCCAGGGTCACCACAGTGTCACACCCCATATTACTAGCCAGGGAAACAACCAAACGCAAAATTTGAAGTATGGTTTCTACTGAATGCATATTGTTTTCACATCATTTGTAAAGTCACAAAATCGTGAGTCAAACCATCGTAAGTTGGGGACAGTCTATCTACTTGAGAAATGGAGATCTAGCCTAGTGTAGCTGGAAAGAGTAAGGGACGAAGCTGAAGAGAAGGCCAGTACCAGGCCATGTAGGGCCTGGTGGGCAGATGAGGGCATCCAGAATGTATCGCCAGGAAAACTGGAAACCATGAATCAGTTCTAAGCAGACAGGTCATATGATCAGACTGTTATTATTATTTGTGGTTGTCTTAGGTCACTCTTGCTGCAGCTGGGGTGGAACTGAAGAATAAGTTAAGAAGGAAACACTCATAGATACCACACCTACCCCCTCTTTTTTAATTAAAAAAGTCCCTATTATGTAGTGGGATGCTCTGAGTAGTAGGATGTGTGGACAAAACTATTATTCAAACCCAGACCATTAGTAAGCTTCCCGTGGCCAAGGGAAGATGCTGGGGCAAGAGCGTTCTTCATGCTGGGAAGGAGCATTCAGGCATGCAAATGTGAGGGAGGCCTACCATCCTTGGGTAGCTCTGCACCCCAGGGCTACAATCCAAAAGCAAACAGTCCAGATGTTAAGTGTCCCTGTTACTAACTTGAAAGGCTGCTCCCCTGTGAGAAAGGCACACCTTTACAGAAAGACATTTTTCCACTGCTCCTCACAGAGCTGTACTTTTTTGTGGAAAATACCATTTGACAAGCCAAGCTGCAGCTGGAGGGGCAAGTGGGTACCGAGAAGCTAAGCGGCCACTGCTCTAGTGCCCACAGGAGGTCAAGGAGGCTCGGTGTGCAGTGTTGTGAGGACACCCGAGAGCTGGTGGTGTGACAGAAACAACAGGCCCTGGGGAGTCCCCAGATGGGATACGTTGAAGGGAGGGACACTCCCATGAGGACTCTTGAGCGACTAGTCGGGTGGTGGTGCCATTTCCTGAGCCGCGGGACCACAG